TGCAAACATGATGTGATTTGAGTGTTTGCCACTGGTATGGACCGTCCAGGCGAGTGTTAGAAGGCGAAGTATGGAGTAAAACGCTGCCCCCGGAGCCTGACAAAGTAAAGGGTTCACTGAACTCTGAGGTAGCCTGTCATGGCAACACAAAAGTGAAGAAACTTTCCCGCTCCGGAGCAACGTTTTGGCAGTTCTGACGTCTCCGTCACCAGGCATTGACTGTCTGGAGCACCAATGTACGTCGTGGACTGTTCCGTGCGGTCTGTTGAATCTGGATTTTGTTTTGCCAGCTATGCAAACGCGCTTAAAAAGAAACATTATAACGGGAGGGAATCCCGGGTGAACTCAACAAGATTTAGGGTTAACTCTTCCATTAATCCGGTATATGCAGCACTATTGATTTGGCACCATTGGCATCATAGTCCAGGCCCACGGACGGGAGGAGCACCTGTCCCATTGAACATGGGGTAACTGCCACCCATCCTTTACTGCCTTTGCCGTCCGGCCTGTCGCCTTGTGTTGTTAACGGATTTTATCATCCCCATGGCAACGGTCGCGTGATTCGCCACAGGTCTCACGGGACACATTTCCAGATGGCCCCAGCGGCCGGATTCCGATGGATGATTGCGTTTTTCGTGCGACGTGATGAGATGGCATTGTAGCGTTCAGCTGATGCATTTTGTGGGGAGACTGGTTGGGTTCTCCATTTTATCAGCCGTCTTAGAATTTCGACACCGGCTAGAAGGAGGAGGAGGAGGGACAGGAGGGGGAGACCCAGCTCCAGCGCACCCGAATACTCTCGAGTGGCAATAGGCGATGCAATGCAGGCAATGCAATGCCAATGGCTAACGGGCGATGGCAGGATAGGCTGAGGACGGTCATGCTCGCGCAGTGACTAAGCATGGACTTGGAGAGATACGTGACTGTTAACAGCACTAAAAATATTGCAAAAGCATAAGACTGTCAAAAGCATCTAATGACGCAGAGATGCGTGTTATCGTCGATTTGTAGCCCATTTGAACGGAAATGCTGGTTCAGGCTTACATCAGTGTAAGACAGGTTGTACTTACTAAAAATGATTGGAACATTCACGAGCTACCTCGGTTGTGTCGCCAGTTGCGGAACGTTGTTCGAATTCTCAAATGAAATAACTTTTTTATAAGTCCGCTTGAATTACCAAAGGGAGATGTGGCTCGAAACTAGACCAATGCTGCCTTAGATTAATCGGTCTAATTAAAGAGGCACAAGCGCCATACGGTCTAATCAGATTGGCAAGCCTGCCGTAATTTGCCCTCCAGAAGATAACTGGAGTTGAACGTGACCCTTGATTCTAATTACACCCTCTGCTGACTGAGAAAGATTAGAAAACGTATGGAAATTGTCTTCATTTGAGATGAGCTGATTCGCTTAGAACCGTTGCGCTTGCAAACACAAGCCTGGCTCTTTCAAAGCTTTTTGCCGCTTGGTTTGGCATTTTACGTGAAGAGATTCGCTGTCTTGCAATGGCTGACAATCGTCGGGGTTTTTTAGTCGCTAAATTCGCACTCGTAACACTTTTCGTCTCACGTTGCATCATTCGAACTCATTTATCGCGACAACAGTGTTGTCAGAAGAAATTGTCGTACGGAAGGATTGAGTCGAGGTGCTAGCATCAAAGATGGCATGATTGTTTGAACTACCATCCTCTTCTGTTCTGCTAGTTACACGACGTTTCAGACTGTTTACTCTCTAGTCGTTGGCAGCTGTTTGGACTCCTGAGAAAGACTGGATGGTGCTTGCCTATCAGCCACGTATGCGCCGCAACCCGAGCTTATAAAGCGCTGGACTCGCAATCAAGAAGACCCTGGCTCGAATCCCAGCAATTCCATGCAGTGAATTCGGATTGGTGCGCATACATGACTGATAGACAAGCATCATCCAGTCCTCCTCAAAAGTCCACAGTACCTGACGACGGCGGGAGAGTTAGCTGGCCGAAACGCTGTGTGACTAACACAGCAGACGAAGGTGATAGCCCGCACAATGGTTCCGTCGGCAGCGTTCTGATTTTACAGCAGTCTTTTGAGTAATGATATGGCCAAGGTTAGCTAATTTTATCACCGGTGGTTTTAGACCATGTGGGTGGGCCAAGTTGTTAAAAGAAGCTTAAGTTTTAATGGCCAGTGGGCATGGCCTGTCGTACTTAAAGTGAGCAGTCAAACTTTACCATAAGTCGCTGCTTTGCCACCATTCGGCCGGGCGCAAAGTTATTCAAAACTGACACATGTCGGGAGACATTATCCACGTCGCGCTGCCCCAAAATGCATTCGCGTCGCGCGACAAACGTTTGCACGCGTACGTATACTACATGCGCTGGCTGCGAACACACCACAAACGCGCCTGCACGCGCCACAGAAATAAGCGCTGGACCCACCTCGCCACGCCGCCTGCGCGCCATTTTGGCCGGAAATATGCTCAGATGCTGCGTGACTGGCGCCACCTGCGACTGTTTTCCCGCCGAAACCACCGCTTGTCAACAACAAACCAGTATCTAACGCCGCTTGGGTCCCCGCGTTCGTGCGCTCAGCTCTTGGATTATTGAATTTCGGCGCTAGAAGTGGGTCGCCTTCGTGGGTACGGTGTGGCTGACGCCCCCCCCCCCCCCTCTCCCCGCACTGTTGTCGGTGCACGCGCTGGAGTTTATTGGGCTCGACTTTGCGGACTCGTGTTGCCGGCTCAGGAAGGGACGATTTGGGCGATGCTGTCGGTCGCTGCTTTGTTTGCTGTGCAGGGGCTAGGATCTCGGTTTGGTTGCGCTGGTGGTATGTGCCGGCCTCAGAAATCATTGAGATTTCTGGTGGATTCTTGAGATTGGGAGTAACTGGCAACCAGATATCTTCAGAAGCATGGAAGATCATGAGATTTTTAGGCGTTTTTTGGTAACGGAGGTAATTTTAGCCTGATATCGAGCGGTTGATGCAAATTGGGGCGAAGGGAGCGCGAGATCTTTTCAGTCATCCACCCGTGGAGACGGAGGTGGATTTGGCACGACGTGGTGACCTCAGGTCTCAGGGAACTGGAATGTTGAGGTGCAGGAGGAGTCAAAGGACCCGCTCCCGTTCTTTTGATGCTGGTGATGTGCTCAGGTAAACATTGCTGTTGTTTGTTCCGGATGAATGTATTCGTCGACACGGCTTTGAAGTAATCTGATTTAAGGCTGCTGGGTATGCATGAGATGCATAACGACGGGCTGGGCTGCGAGTTGCTACGCAGATTTTGTTGTGAGCAAGGTAGAAGTTCTGGGGGACGAATGAAAGCAGTCCAGTCGGAACAAAACCTGGCGAAATGCCAAGATTCATTAAAAGTTCGCCATTACTGCGCGTCTTGAAAACTCTGCCCGTACGTTTTTCTCGAGTCGGTTCTTGGAGCAGACTGATGTGCGGTGCCGCCAAGCAATTACAGCGACAAGCGCTCACAACCCGGACGTGTCCCGTCGCTAAAATAAGCGCGTTTTCGGAAACCCTTCGCGCTGACGCACGCTCCCCGATTTGCGGCGCATTTGCCCGTAGCCGAACCTGCCCCCGACACTCAACCGGCCCGTTTGTCTTGGCGTTTTTCCCCGCTGTTTCTTCTCGGTCGGATCTGCTGTGTAAACAAATCGTCGAGAAATGAGCCCGTTCGTCTGGGCCGACGGCCGCGGCTGCGTTCGGCCGGTCTCTCGGGTTTCCATATGCGCCTCATCGCGGCCCGCTTCCGGCAAAATTGAAATGGATGTGGCCGTGTGTGTCTGTTGCACGGTCCCACGCGGCCACCGACAGTGCCAGTGCCAGTGCCAGTGCCGCAAACACGGCGCTGCTCCTGAGCGACAGAGCGGTGCTGGCAATGGTTTGGCGACCGAAGAATCCCGGGCGCGAGAATTGGCGGTGGATCCGTTGAAATATTGGAGGGGAGGGAGGTCCTTTAGTCACGCTTTATTGTTTGCCGGAGTTTGTGAGAGCCGTGGGGTTAGTGGGGAAGTATTGGATGACGATGTAGTCAAGTTAAACTAGTGATATCTATTTGCGAAGACATATACTTATATAAACATACATTTAGATATAATACCGAGGGAGAGAGAGAGATCGAAAGAGAGAGAGAGAGAGAGAGAGAGATAATATATATATATATATATATATATATATATATATATATATATATGTGATTGCTATATTGGCATATATTTACTATGCATTTCATAGATTATATGTTATATACTAATGCCTCAATTCGAAAACATAGTAAAGAGAGCTTGGGGCGCCAACAGATTTTCCACTCTGGGTGTGTGTGTGTGCGTGTGCGAGTGTTATAAAAACAGATGCACAATTGTTAAATTGGCCTGTTGAGGTAATTGTTTGTTGATTTCAACGTTCTAGCAGTTTCTATATTTTTCCACGCAACGCCGGAGGCGCTTTGTCACGTTTTGCCAGACCTAACAAGTGCCAGCCCCACCCTTCTCATCCCAGCAGCTGATTGCTATATGGGGCGGGCGCACTTTCGCAGCTTTACCACATATGTGCGGTGTATGCCAGCCTCATGTTTTGCAAAAGGAGACAGGACTGAAGCAATGACTGATTGATGGAATGATTCTATTGAATGATTTGATTTTGAATTCTAAATTGAATTGATCAAATGATTCCAAGCTCTTGCGACCAGGAACGGAAACATCTCCCGCCATTGCTGTAATTCATGTAAAACTTAGGCGCGCCGGAACGTAATCAATATTTTTGTGTGTGGCGTTTGACATATTTGGCTGCTAGGACTATCAGCATCGCCATCCGTATTGAATGAAAGCTCCCCGCGGAAGGGACGGAACCCGTACTTCTGGATCCAAAGTGATGCATGTTTTCTACGGACCCTGTCCGCCGTACCGTTAACGTGTTGACGCCTGCCCCCCTCGCCAAAATCTTCCGACAGCTTCACCTGTTGCGATGCCGAAAGTCACGTCTGCGTTGATACGCTGTTGAACTGTTCTCTCCCTCTTTCAGCGGTGTCTGACCAACATGGCGACGACCGTTGCCCTGCTACTGTTGACGACCGTTGCCATGGCAACAGGTGAGTGCGGATCGGGTAAATTCGTTGGGTTGTGCAGCTACGGCTGAGGATGTGCACAGTTTTGGGTGTAAATTATGTGGTGGGGGGACTTGTTTGGCAGTCGAATTCGAAATTCGAATAGATCGAATAAAGTTTAATCTTTGCATCAAAATCTCTATGCCTGAGCACCGTTTAGCTCTCATTTGTAAAATCAGTTTCAGTGGTGTCTGGGTTACTGTTCTGCATTATTATATTGACACTGTGGTGATCGATGTTCTCAACATATAAAATCAGTCTGAGCAACCAAGCTTATTTGCTCATTAACGCACGGCAGGCCGCCTTGTTCGGGCCGCCCTGAGACTGGGCAGGTAGATTTATCGCATGAGGCCGACTAAAATTCTGTTTACCCGTTCCCCGGCAGTAATCCGTGGCGCCCGTAATCTTTCCCTGATTTTTTAGCGGTTAAAATGCTGCTTTGGTTCCGGTCCCATAGAAAACCAGTGGAGCATGGTGGTGAAAGGGCAAAATCGGTCACCACAGCGGTGGGGTTCGGCGATAACTAATGCGGTGCAATAAAACGCAGGACGTACGACTTTTCCAGCGCAGCAGCGACAAATAAGTGCTTTGTCCAGTCCTACTGAGGAAGAGTTGAGCCCAGGCACGTGGCAACGCATTTTATTTGCACATTCAAATCATGTTTTTTCAGGATACGACAGCGACTTTAGATTCAAATCCCGATTTTCACGATTACAGTCCTCTTTTCACGATTTGAGGACTCGCAAGAATGGAATTATTCGAACCTTCGTAAATCCCGCGTAGCTGAGTCCTCAACCCTGTCCGCGGCCCTTTCGCCGATGGCGAGACACGGAGCCGGGCGGGCAGGACAGCGGCGTCACGCTCTACTGGCGGAACGGATGTTTCCGATTTAGCAGCGTTGGCAGAAGATGGAGGGTCAACGTAATGCTGCAGCCACCCTGGCCGCTTTAGACCGTTCTCCGCGTGTTATAAATAGTAGCACGGCTTGAGTGATGCTGCGGATGGCGGCCATTTGGAACGTCCTGGAAGTGTGCGTTGCGGAGGAATCTGCCAGATGTTGTTTGCGTGGATTGTTTATACCGGTTCTAGGTTAGGAAGAGCGGTATTGCATTGTATAGTCACGGAGCTGATTGTCAAAGATTAAATGGAACAAAAGTTTTCGGGGCTTAGCAGGGCTCTATCTTAATTAAGCAAGAATGTCGTCATGGCACGTTCGGCATGAAAGTGTGTGGTTTATGACGTGCTAGCCGAATACAGACCAAACAAATGCCGGTGACTCATTTTCCGATTTTTCTCCCTCGGAATTTCGAATGTTTTTCTTGCTCTAGCACAACCACAATTAGACAACTTTTGACGGCAGATCTCATCTCTTTTGAACTCCAACTCGCATGTCTTATCCGTTTAAAGTTTAATCCCGTCTCCCAGCATCGCTCCCAAAGATTTCACGGCTTCTCAACACCTATCCCCGCCAAACCCGTCCCTAGCCGCCAGCGACGAAGACCAGATCCCTGCGCCGTCGCTGCGCCGTCCCGTGGCAGCCAGGTTATGCTGCGCCCCGTCCGGGCCATCGACCCCGCGATTCTATCCAGTTGGGGCGAGCCCGGGTCACGTGCGCCCAATAGGCGCGCCCATCGGGGCTAGGGCCTCGTTGACGTTGCCGTCCGTGGCGCTCTTTTATCGGCGTCGTTCGAACGCGGGATGGGGAGGGGAAGGGGGGGGGGGGGCAGGGTCGCGCGACCGGTCCGATCGATCCTGGTGGTAGGTGGGGAAGGTGTGTTTTGGTGATGCAGCGGCGCCCTGCAGCGCTCTAGCGATGCAGGGCGCCGCACCACTAGCGATATCGTTAAGTTGCGAATGCATTTGTTTTAGTTGGTAGCACTGCAGTGCATTCAGATTTGCGTGAGCGGTAATGAGCCTCTTCGGTAAGCTGATGAGAACACCGCTGCCGGAGCGTTCTCATCACATGTTTTCTAGCGACGAGTTCAATAAACTGTCAGATTCGGATGAAAACCAAAAAACCGTGAAATCCATACAGACTCCAGAACGAACAGGGTATGGCGACAGCACTGGCAGCGCGTTGGCGACACAATTCTGCGACGTCATGCCATTTCACAGTTGGTCACGGACAATACACTGATCAGTTAAGCTCTAATAAGCCGAGGACAGACAGGCCTTGGAGCCCCGCAAATAGAGAGTGTTAGAGCGAAGCCTTCGAGCGGGTTACGCACAGCTGGCAATGACCCAAAATCAGGCTGTCTCTGTTCCAACACTCATAGAAAGTGGAGGGGTGCCTAAGGCAGCGGACGACCCACCGCGTCCCTCCGTCGCACGGGAGGAGTCGGAGGAGCCGAGGAGGAGGAGGAGTCGAAGTTGTGCGAGGATTCGTGGCTCTGTGGGGCTTGTAGACGCGCTCTAATTAGTTAGCTAGTTATTGGACTTAAGGGCGTGTCAACTACATGGGTTATTTGAGCCTGTTAGAGCCCTCTGCTGTCAAGCTCCACCCCTCCCCCCTCCACTCCCCACCGCCACCGCCTCCCCCACTTGGGCCGCAAAGTAGGACAAATTCGGAGAGAAGCCCGTATGTTGGCGTATTTGGAGATGGATTGGATCATTTTTCACTCCTCAGCCCCCCCCTCCCCCCCTCCCCCCCCCATCTCCAACTCATTTTGCGAAACTGCGCCTATGCTTTCAACTGCTGGGCCGGCTCTAGAGTCCCAAAACGTTTGCTGCGTAGAAAACATGGTGCAGACAATCGTCGTGTCAATAGCAATACATGAAACCCGGTAAAACTCCTTGTAAAACCTTGTAAACCAGGAAAAACTCGTAAGCATATCTGGAGAAACATGGCTGCATACGACAAGCACATTGACTGCAACATCTTCTTTTGAAGTCGTGCTAGTTTTGCAATTGACGATTGCCATTGTGGCATATTGACACTGAGTTAACTGGATGGTTGTTGGCCTGTAGCGATAAAGCGTGATGGGAAGCTTTTTGAGGAGAGGAATCAGCAAGCGTTTCCTAAGCACCCTGGCGGCACTAACGGGGGAGTATGACCAAAAGATCGCAACGTCGTCAGTGACAGCACAGAAGATAGATCATGACCGAAACATCTGCTGATTTCTTGTTCTTATCTCTTGTCTACCACTCTTCACGACACACCGCCAACGACCATCCAGAAGGTCTTCAAAAATCCAGCTGACCGTCCGAGAATCAGTCTGAAAATGAGTCTTCTCCGATTGGAGGGTTGCTCTTCTTCTTAACGCGTGAGATGGGAATTCGCCTTCTATCCACACACCAGGTAATGGCGAGCATACGTTCAGTCTGGGAGTAACGTTTGGAGAGTCGTACTTGAATCAGAGGTTGTGCTCAAAAGGTCACCCTTACGTCACGTGCACGCATCAGCGAGTGAATAACAGCTTATGCTGTATCGCATCAACTGTTTTCTTCGGGGTTGTCATGCTGAGTTGGCGATCTTCAGCATAGCGAGAGGCTCTGGTTAAACGACGTTATAGAGCGAGCATTGGTTGTATTGGTCATTGTCTTGGTTACATTGACTTACACTACCGACGTTTGCTCTGCAACGTCGTTTAACTAGTAACTCCTAGCATATTGAACTTCGATGACGTAGGATAAGAATTCTGAGCCCACCACAGTCCGAACGTCCCAAAACCAGGAGCTGGAGGCCTTTCCTGCTTACATCCACCACACCAATCTCCGTCATGCCCGTGAACTGCCCCTTGAGCGATCTCGCACATGGTTGTCACGACGCATGCTTTTTCCACACATCTTCGTTGTTAGTCTTCGGCACTCGGTGACTCTTCATGGCTCCCAGCTTTCCATAACGGAAGCCAGTCGTGAGAATAAATCCCGCCACCCAGGCTACTCACCGGAAAAACATCCTCACGAGGTGCTCCAGCAGGAAGGGCGATGTTTAGGTAGCAGCGTATCGCGGCAAAAATCGGGGTAAATTCGTGAGAAACCCTTGCGGTTAGTTGATCCTCTTTCCGCGCTAAATTCGCCACAAACCCCGCGCCGGTTCTGAGGCATCCGTAAGATAACAATCCACGTTACACTGGCGTGCCCGTGCGCATGGCAGATGGATCAAGTAAAAGTAAGTCACGTGGGAAAGTGCACGCTTGCAAGAAATTACAATCGCGTACCACTAAGCGCACGTACTGCGTGACTTTGTGAGTACTCGCGCACCATGAACTGCATCACAGAGAAAATAATAAAAGATGTCACTCATACCACGCGATTTGCCGTCATTACCCCTCCCCCCCCCCCTTTGCCCTGGTGCTTGTTTTGCTGGTACTTCGGATGAACGACGACGACGACTCTACCGCTGCCCAGCTCGCCTACCTTGGTGCCCTCCCCCTGCCCCTCCGCCGTCAAGCCGAGTCTGCGGCGGCGGCTGCCGCGGGCTCCTGCCACGGCTCAGCTGATCGGGCGGTCGGGCAGGAAGCGGCCGTTCCGTTGGCCGCCGTCTCAAGGTCACGCGGCCGACCGCGCGCCGCCGGCCGGTCAACGACCGAGGGCGAGAGCTGCGACAGCGGCGCGGTTGATGTTCGGGGTCACGGCCTGACGCCGGGTTCGGGACCTGTTGGTGGTGCCATGCGGCGGAAGGGTGAGCGATCGGCGGTGTTTCGAGCGGAGTCATTGTTTGCTGCCAGTTACGAGTCTGTCGTGTTTGCATGCAGGCTGGAGCGTCCAAGAACCCGGCTGGCCCAAGCCCCCAGTCCGCGCAGGCGCGAAGATAGGTGGAAGTGCATAATTCGCAGGCCCTCGTCTCTTAGCCGTAGTGTTCACAGCAAAAGGTTTTAGTTCAGTAAACAATCCACAGACCTCATCGTATTTGGTGATGCTTGCGGTGGGTGAACACTTCCGGAACGTGGATATCTTAGAAAACGTTCATGACCCGACGGTTGACCCATCGTCTTAAACCCTCCTTTGTCGAAGATTTTGACTAGGCCTAGATGGAAGCACGT